ATCAGCTCTTCTCCCAGACTCTCCAGCAGATGGGAGAAGAGTAGTGAAAGTCATGCCCCTCCTCCTTATATCATCAGGAGAGGCCGGACGACTTCAATTGCTGCTGTGTGATGGCTGCAGACTTCAGCTCCTCTCTCACCCCTCCCTGGCCAAAGTAAAGCCTCAGGGAGGGGGGATACGTTGTTGTTTTTTTGGTAATATAATTTTTTTTGGCTGCCCCTGTCCAACCCCCTCCCTGTGTCCCCACCACAGCCCCTGTGTCCCCCTGTAGAGCTACTGGGCCCCCCACCACAGCCCCTGTGCCCCCCATAGCCACAGCTCCTATGACCCTCTTGAGCCCCTGTGCCCCCTCTCTCAGTCCCTGTGCCCCCTCCTCACCACAGCCGTAAGTTCTCATAGAGGTTTGTGTATATATTTGATGTAAGGCATAATAATCGATTTGTGTACTTGTAACCATTATATTCGTAATATATAATATACTAAAGCATAATATTGCCTGCTTGGATTGAAAAGCCCACCCAGGTGAGTAAATGATGTGCTAGTCCATTATGATATAGTCAAACAGTCACCTTTATGCTCTTAAAACGGGTGTCTATTACGGCACGGCAAGCTATTGGCATATCGTAAAAATAAAGACATCACTAGTGAGCATTGAACCGGGCGGATTGTATCATCACTAGGAGACTAGGCGATGTACTAAATAGAATGTCGTGTAAGGAGAGGAGAGAGCGAATCATCTCTGTGCCAATGAAAACATATGTGGTCTGTTATAGTTTGACAGACTAGTCACATATCATGTAGGTTCGAAACATCGCTGATAAACATTTAAAAAGAGTGAATTAAACCAAGCAGATGGTATCATCCTTGAGAGAGATGTATTGCTATGAATACATGTGTATGGCTATTATATATCAAAGGATGGATAAACATGGGTGCCAAAAGGGGACATGATGAATACAAGGCTAGCTGTTTTCCCATTTGTTTATAATGGATAATGTATTTGGATATTTTTCCTATCTAAATATGAGAGATTGTCACGATTCTGGAACCTAACACGCTAACAGGTCACAGAGAGGGAGGGTGCTATACCGGTCCTTAGAGTGGCCGGGCTAAGCACACTAAGAATGGTCAGGAGACAAGCCAAGTAAAGGGAGCCAGAAAACGGGAGAACGAGAAACAAGCCAAGGTCAAAGGAGTGGAGAAGACAGGATAATCGGAATAACGAGCCAAATAATCGGAAACCAGAGAGCAACATGAGAAAACTGCACTACAGGTATCACAAGACCACAACAGGGCACTGAGAGACAGGAAAGGTAAGTATAAATACCCTTTGCTTAATTCTGATTAGATAACTTCCAATCAGAATTAACAATCACAAGTGGGAGATATCTACGCCTCCCACTGTGATTGTGGTACTGTTGCTTTAAATTTGCGACCTCCCAGCGTGCAGCGTTATACATGCTGCCGCTGGGAGGCGTGGAGGACGCGAGCGGCGAGCGGCGGAGAGGAGACGCCGCTCGCCGGCAGGTAGGAGGAGGGGAGACCGCTGACCCCTGACAGAGATATTTTGAGTATATGCTATGGTGCTCTTAAGTCCTCGTAAAGGCTTGTATGTACATTTGATGCAAGACATAATAGTCGCTCAATAGATTAATAAAGTTCTCTCACAAGAATGATGGTTCTCACAAAAAATATGGTACCATAGGTTCTCGTAAAGATTTGTATGTATATTTTATGCAGGGGATAAGAATCGATCTATGGATATTGCATAACAGATTAATAAAGTTCTCACAAACATTAAGTAAAACGTATATAATGCTGTGCTCAACATTTGTAGTGTAATAAATTATAGTTACATATGTAGTCGATATGTATGGCTACAAAGTATGAATGGATTATGGACGGGTCATAGATTTCCACTTGAGGACATAAACGTTGTCTCAAATGTCTCAAATGCAAGAGAAAATTACTAGTGCAATAAATTTACAGTGCTGATGTTGTGGAATAATGTGTATATATATATATATATATATATATATATACAGGGAGTGCAGAATTATTAGGCAAATGAGTATTTTGACCACATCATCCTCTTTATGCATGTTGTCTTACTCCAAGCTGTATAGGCTCGAAAGCCTACTACCAATTAAGCATATTAGGTGATGTGCATCTCTGTAATGAGAAGGGGTGTGGTCTAATGACATCAACACCCTATATCAGGTGTGCATAATTATTAGGCAACTTCCTTTCCTTTGGCAAAATGGGTCAAAAGAAGGACTTGACAGGCTCAGAAAAGTCAAAAATAGTGAGATATCTTGCAGAGGGATGCAGCACTCTTAAAATTGCAAAGCTTCTGAAGCGTGATCATCGAACAATCAAGCGTTTCATTCAAAATAGTCAACAGGGTCGCAAGAAGCGTGTGGAAAAACCAAGGCGCAAAATAACTGCCCATGAACTGAGAAAAGTCAAGCGTGCAGCTGCCACGATGCCACTTGCCACCAGTTTGGCCATATTTCAGAGCTGCAACATCACTGGAGTGCCCAAAAGCACAAGGTGTGCAATACTCAGAGACATGGCCAAGGTAAGAAAGGCTGAAAGACGACCACCACTGAACAAGACACACAAGCTGAAACGTCAAGACTGGGCCAAGAAATATCTCAAGACTGATTTTTCTAAGGTTTTATGGACTGATGAAATGAGAGTGAGTCTTGATGGGCCAGATGGATGGGCCCGTGGCTGGATTGGTAAAGGGCAGAGAGCTCCAGTCCGACTCAGACGCCAGCAAGGTGGAGGTGGAGTACTGGTTTGGGCTGGTATCATCAAAGATGAGCTTGTGGGGCCTTTTCGGGTTGAGGATGGAGTCAAGCTCAACTCCCAGTCCTACTGCCAGTTCCTGGAAGACACCTTCTTCAAGCAGTGGTACAGGAAGAAGTCTGCATCCTTCAAGAAAAACATGATTTTCATGCAGGACAATGCTCCATCACACGCGTCCAAGTACTCCACAGCGTGGCTGGCAAGAAAGGGTATAAAAGAAGAAAATCTAATGACATGGCCTCCTTGTTCACCTGATCTGAACCCCATTGAGAACCTGTGGTCCATCATCAAATGTGAGATTTACAAGGAGGGAAAACAGTACACCTCTCTGAACAGTGTCTGGGAGGCTGTGGTTGCTGCTGCACGCAATGTTGATGGTGAACAGATCAAAACACTGACAGAATCCATGGATGGCAGGCTTTTGAGTGTCCTTGCAAAGAAAGGTGGCTATATTGGTCACTGATTTGTTTTTGTTTTGTTTTTGAATGTCAGAAATGTATATTTGTGAATGTTGAGATGTTATATTGGTTTCACTGGTAATAATAAATAATTGAAATGGGTATATATTTGTTTTTTGTTAAGTTGCCTAATAATTATGCACAGTAATAGTCACCTGCACACACAGATATCCCCCTAACATAGCTAAAACTAAAAACAAACTAAAAACTACTTCCAAAAATATTCAGCTTTGATATTAATGAGTTTTTTGGGTTCATTGAGAACATGGTTGTTGTTCAATAATAAAATTAATCCTCAAAAATACAACTTGCCTAATAATTCTGCACTCCCTGTATATATATATATATATATACATACATACATACATACACACAGGTTAATTATTCAGAAATAAATTAGGCATAGCCCAGATGGAAATAAGGTTTTCAATTTGTAAATCCAAAAGCTCTCTCTCTGCAGTTGGTTTGCGAAAGAGTGTCATGGCCAGTTTGCCATCTCTTTCTATACTGATGGTGACATCTAAGAAATTAATCAGTTTATCTCCTATCTAAGATAAAAGATAAAAAACTTACCATGCCCCTATGTATCCCCCTGGCATTTCCCCAAAGTGAATGCACCTGTGCAAAGTCAAGCCACCTGTGACATCATCTTCCAGCGTCATACCTCCCTGGTAGGTTCTTTTGCATTTTAATAAAGACAGGAAAAATTGAGGCATTCTAAAACTTTTGACCAATTGGTGTATATAACTTTAAATGCTTGGAGAACTGTCAGATAAACATCAACCCAATAACAGCTGAGGAACTGTTTATCTATATCAGCCCAATGTCTAGTCCGCTCACTGCTGTGATATTGTTAAAGAACACCCCAAGCACCATAACCACAACAGCTTATGGTGTGAGGAGTCCTCTTGGGCCCTACAAAACTCTTTTTGGACAGTTTCACTTCTTACCCGGGGCCGTTACTCAGCTCCACTACTAATGCAGGAACGTCCATTAGCTCTCCCAAGATAAGCCCTGCGGTGTTTAATAGCGACAGCCGGTCACTACACCAAACTCCAGTGGTTATGCTGCTGGACCTTTGCTTTAATTTGGCTCAATTCAGTATCACGCAGCAAAAGGTCCAGCAGCATAACCACTGCAGTTTGGTGTAGTGACCGGCTGTCGCTATTAAGAAAATTAGCAATTTTTTTTTTTTTTTTTTCATATTGCAATGTATTTTATGTACACTAATTGAAAAAGAAAATTTGAATATGGAAACACTATAAACGTGTGTTTTACAGTTAAGCTGCAGATCAGTCACAAACTGAACTGAAATATTGTGACATTGCTCGAGTATAAATAATGTCTGACTCAAACTCACCCAATTCACATAGCTTTCAGTGCAATCTTTATCTATGGAGTATGGCACCATCTGCAGGATATATGCATGTACTGCATATGCTCCATGCCAGCTTTCCATAAAAATATTAGGCTTTTTTTTTTTTTTTTTAAGCTTTGCTGATGGACAATTTTTTAGGGGACATGGCTAGGACATATGGGTGGATGGACACCTAAGCAGAGAGCTTTGTCACTTAAATGGAACTTTTCACATACTTACTGGTAACGGTTGACACTGTCTACCTACATTGCCTTTTCTACTCTTGGGTTTCTCCCTGCCAGGAGAAAAATCGAAGCAGAAAAAGTGGTTGTGGCCTGATGGAAAACACAGAAAAAAAGGCTGTGACCTGCATGCGTCAGACCACAACTACAGGCCCTGTGGACGTTAGACCACTTCTTCCTGACTTTCCTGAAGACTGCTTGGACGCTCACAGGGCACATTGCTCTCTACATGGACAAAGAATGGAGGGAGAGCAGCCCAAGGATATAATTGTCTAGTCTCAATATTTTAGGCCATCATAAGGAAGTGTAGAGTCTCCTATCAATGTAAACCTCTACAGACTTTCCAAGACATCTCAGCCCTTACTCTACAAAAGAGAAATTACTTATTTTGGTTATTTGTCTTCTTTGTTTTAACTTCCATTTTACCTTTTTCTTTCCCCTCTATCCCCTGTTGCGATGGATAACTTGGAGGCTTACAGTTTCTTTTTTATTATTATTTACAAGTGTGTAGCTATTTCAAGGGCTAAAATCATTCACTTTCCTGCCTTCCCATGTGACTGTTAAAATTATCACCTTGATTTATAATTCTTGGATAAGCTTTTCAAATAATTTAATATTTTTAGATAAACTTTTAAAATATTTTTTTCTAAATATCAAAAATGTATCATATAAAATAAATATATCAATATATAAAAATAATGAACATATTAAAACATATTTTAAAAAATATATTAAATAGGGGCAGAACCAGCAGCCATACCAAGCAGACGTGCATCAGATGAGCCCCCAGCAAAACAGTAAGAAATTGCTGATTGTTTCAGCTTTAACTTACCCCAATGCCTAAAAACAAGGGTAAACAAAAATAAGAACTACAAACCCTGAAAAACCTCTGGCGACCGCCAACATCATGGAGTTGCTCAGGAGGACACGTATCCCGCAGAGGCCTGTAATGGCACCTCCCTTTGACAGCTCTCACAATCAACCAGCAAGGCCTTCGTGGATAGCAAAAAAGCAGACAGCGAGGGAGCATACTGCCCCGCCTTCTGCACCTACTGGAGGCTCACCGGTAATGGAGGGCATGATGAGAGACCTCCTAGGCGAGCTCTGATTAAACATCCTGGCAATATAGGCCAATTCCAAGAGGAGATTGGAGGAGCAGAAGCCAGGCTTACCAATCTAGAAAATAAACTGCAGGCGTTACAACGCGAACATGCTCTGGCCACAGACCGCATGACAGTTATGGAGGATAAGAGACTGTGGAAAACTGTAAACATGCACAGCCTTGCAGATGGCATGGAGGCTGCTGAAATTCCACACTTCTTCAGGAGCCTGCTGGTGAATCTCTTTTCTGCCAAACAGGCTAAAGTTATGCGGCTGGATGGCTGCTACAAAATACCAGCATCACCAAAAACCACTGTGGGTACCAGCAGGGATGTCATTATCCACTTCTAAAATAGGCAAGATCGCCTGACCTTTATGACTGCGGTTAGCAACAAGTCACTATATAAGTTTGAAGACTACGCCTTAACGTTCTACCCATATTTGTCTAAGGACACGTTAGATTGGCGGAGATCCTTGCGGCCCCTAACTAAGAAACTCGCTACCCACAAAGTACCACAAGTGGCGTACCCCATGATTCTTAATCCTCTCTAGAGACTCTAGGACTTTAAAAGTTCATGATCTCAGAAACTACTAACGTCCTTCAAACACTTGGGCTGCTGACCGATGCTGTAGAGCCGGCATCGATATCACAGAGTTCCTGGGACCCCTTGTTTCGGCTGTGCGGGGGGAGTCCCACAACTGCAGTGATACAGTCAGTGATCTCAACCTGATGGCAACCTACAATACCTCACATTGTTAATTATTTTTGTTTTTCACTTGTTTATTTCACTTTTCATTCTTCCTACCACGTTGAGTACCCTAAGATGCTCACCCTTTTGTACAGGCCAGCTGTACCTGCTGGAAAACAGGGTATACCTCCCCCTATTATCCCCCCACCCCCATCCACTACTCCCCCGCATTGAGCCATTAGCCCAATTTTAGCACTGTGAATTTTAGCTCTCTGGCGACTCTGTTCTGGTATACTTACCTTCATCCTATATATATGTCGCCAACGCAGTTGGCATTCTCCACTCCGGCATAACTACTTGCATTGGCCATGATATTTTTCTCTGGAGCTAGACATACTATATGCTATTTTTGTATCTTACATTACTTAATCTATGTAACTTAAAAAAAGAGGCAGCCTCTACTAGGAGTTTATTCCCTAAAGCTTGCTTAAATTGTGAGATTCCTTTTTATATACACATGTATACACTTGTTCTGAATCCTTGCTTTGTGCATTGTAATTATCATTATCCTCAATAAAACAGAGATTGACAAAAAAAATTCTCAAAAAGAAAAAAAATTACATTATTTTAAAATGTTTATCCATAAATATTAAATCATTTAAAAAGCTTATCCATAAAATATAAAATTAAGGCCATTGGTTTCTTGCAGGAAACTCTCCTACCTCTCAGTGATTGCAATTATGACACTAGTATATGCCACTAATTCATTTTGCAAATATAATGGCGTGGCTATATTGCTTCACGGGAAATGTTTGTTTCACGTTTCCAGTGTTCTCATAAATGATGAGGGGAGATATGTTTTAGTCACTGGATCTATGGTTTCTTCTACCTGTCACTTGCTTAATCTATGTGCCCTGAATTTACCCAATGCAGGATTATGGGACAGTATTGGCAATAACACTAAGACTTTGGAAGTGTCTGTTGGTAGCGGGGAACTTTAATGTGGTCCCATGTCTGCCAGCTGATGGAAGCTCCCATCAATGTATTTTGCCGTCCCATGGGAGAGAAGGGTAGACAAATTTCTCTGGAATTACAATGAATCGTGTGGTCTCATCAACATCTGGAGGGCCCACCATCCTGATGCTATAGACTATTCTTTTTTGGGGGGTTTTTGCCCCGCATGGTGCTTTTAAATTAATTTTTGGGAAACACACAATTGGTCTCCTTTCTTACTGGCTCAGAGATATAATTACAGAGATGTAAAATATTTACTGGTTACACCATGCTGATATAGCACTGTATCTTAAACAATGTATGGAGATCACCCGCTTCCCCCAATGGAACTGATGCACTGCTGCTAGTGATGTCGATGGGTGTGGTCAGCAATAAGGTGGTTATTTGGAGCCACCTTATTAGGATAGCTACCCATAAAAAGAAAAGGAAATGTCAAACTTTTACCTTTCAGAAATCTCTACAAAAGACTGAGTCCCAAAACTGATCCTAACCCTAATACCTTGAAAGAAACGAGAGCAGTACACACCCAAATTAGATGCCTTCTTGCAAGACAGATGCAGTATTTTTGCTGTTTCATTTATGAAAAGGCAAATAAAGTGGATACCATCCTTGCTCACAGCCTTTGACCAAGACCAACATCCAAACCAATCACTGCAGTAGGCTTTGTGGATATGGTGTAATAGACCATTAGTGTACCCCTTAATATCTACAGATATCCATGTTACTGCAATTATCATACGATCTCAAGAAATTAAACTAAATATGTCCAGGAAAGCATATATATTGTTTTAGGAGATAAGTGATTCTATCAGCAACACATTTAGACTCTTGTGTGATAGCTTTGACTATGCTAACATGCAGTGACAAAGACTTTAATTATATTAAGAAGCAGTTTCTCCTCATCTTAAAAACAACTTGGATAGTACAAATCAACACCTGGGCATAGAGTCTGTAATGAGTCAACAGCTGGAAACTGTTGTTTTACCGTCTGTAACTGTCCAACTCTGACACATTCTTCCCATTTTTTTAGTGACTTCACCAAGCCTTATCAATTTAGCCTTCAGTGACTTCTATCATAAATTATACACTGCCTGGCCAAAAAAAAAAAGGCGCCACTAAAATAAATGGTCACCCACTCTAATATTTTGAAAGAGTACAAATGGAACTGTGTGTAAGAGGCGCTTAGATGTGCAGAATAAACGGAATAAAGAACTGCTTCATCACTCTTGTGGGGCTTGCCCACCTTAAATATGAAAACCAAACAAAAGGAAGAAAGGCCACAAGGCTATTCACATCTAAGAGTGGAGCAAATAGTTATAAATTTAAACACCTACCCTATATAAGGGTCTTCTGGTAATGTCTTTACAATTTTCACATAAGCAGCGACATATATAAAACAGGGAAAAAAAACATAAAAGGGAATAATAGTGTAAATCCGTGGAGGTGATGTTTGTAGTGAAGTGGTTAAATAAATTGCCAACTCACATGCTACAGAGCCTACAGTAGGATAGGCTCAGATCGCATCCGCTTTGGTGCCGTCTGGTGGCACGTTCCCCTTTAAGGATGTTAGTGATTTTCCTCAGAGTAGGGAGATAAAAAAAAAAAAAGTACAATAGAGTATATTCTGGTGTAGTATTCTTAAAATATAGGTAAGTGTATAGTTGCTTTAAATAGGTGTTCACCTTATTCAGAGCCCAAGTACCTGGCTCTGGGTTTGACAGCTTGGATGTCAGTAAAGGGGACACCTCCCTTCTTGGAGCAGGTTAGATGAGGACCAGGAACGGACTTGATATAAAAATGAATTTATTCTGACAAAATAGTAATAAAATACAAAATATTAAAATAAAATCCAAATAAAAGTCTATAGATACAGTGTCCAACCGGTGTCCTTGTTATCCGAGACGCATTTCACCCTTCACAAGGGCTTTTTCAATCAGCATGTCCTGCTCCGTTTCTTGTCTGATTAAATATGCCGGTCCGGCTTCCCATTGGTGGGTGGTGTCTTGTGGCATCCAATCAGGTGTCTCTTTTGAGGGGGGAGTGTGGTATCCAGCCTAGTCCCATCAATTCATTACCAGTGTACCGGAAGTGACGTTAAGCACTTCGCTGCGTCACTTCTGGTTCCAAACTCGCCATATTGTGTACGGGCACTTACTAGGGGAGAGACCTGGCACCATTATACGTGTCTGTCTCTCCTATTATGCCCGATGTTGCATACTTAATTGAAGATCCCTTTATACACATATACATTATAGGGGCATGTGCCCCCTGTCCTTAGTTAATATTGTATTATCATTTATCATAAGGAGGAAAAAAGACTATGCTAACATGCAGTGACAAAGACTTCAATTATATTAAGAAGCAGTTTCTCCTCATCTTAACAACAACTTGGATAGTACAAATCAACCCCTGGGCATAGAGTCTGTAGTGAGTCAACAGCTGGAAAACCGTTGTTTTACCATCTGTAACTGTCCAACTCTGACACATTCTTCCCATTTTTTTAGTGACTTCACCAAGCCTTATCAATTTAGCCTTCAGTGACTTCTATCATAAATGATACACTGCCTGGCCAAAAAAAAAGTCGCCACTAAAATAAATGGTCACCCACTCTAATATTTCGTTGGACTGCCTTTAGCTTTGATTATGGCATGCATTCTCTGCGGCAATTTTTTGATAAGCTTCTACAATGTCACAAGATGTATTTCCGTCCAGTGTTGCATTCATTTTTCACCAAGATCTTGTATTGATGATGGGAGAGTCAGACCACTGCGCAAAGCCTTCTCCAGCGCATCCCAAAGATCCTCAATGGGGTTAAGGTCTGGACTCTGTGGTGGCCAATCCATGTGTGAAAATTATGTCTCATGCTCCCTGAACCACTCTTTCACAATTTGAGCCCGTTGAATCCTGGCATTGTAATCTTGAAATATGCCCGTGCCATCAGGAAATAAAAAAATCCCTTGATGGAATAACCTGGTCATTCAGTATATTCAGGTAGTCAGCTGACCTCATACTTTGGGCACATAATGTTGCTGAACCTAGACCTGACCAACTGCAGCAACCCCAGATCATAGCACTGCCCCCACAGGTTTGTACAGTAGGCACTAGGCATGATGGGTGCATCACTTCATCTGCCTCTCTTCTTACCCTGATGCGCCGATCACTCTGGAACAGGGTAAATCTGGACTCATCAGACCACAAGACCTTCTTTCATTGCTCCATAGTCCAATCTTTATGCTCCCTAGCAAATTGAAGCCTTTTTTTCCAATTAGCCTCACTGATTAGTGGTTTTCTTAAAGGACCACTATAGTGCCAGGAAAACATATTCGAGACAGCAACTAGAGGCTTTAGAGGCTGAATTAACCCATTTATAAACATAGCAGTTTCTCTGAAACTGCTATGTTTATAAAAAAAAAGGGTTAATCCTAGAAGGACCTGGCTCCCAGACCACTTTATTAAGCTGAAGTGGTATGGGTGCCTAGAGTGGTCCTTTAAGCCTACATAGCTATTCAGTCCCAATCCCTTGAGTTCCCTTCGCATTGTGCATGTGGAAATGCACTTTCACTAATAAACATAGCCCTGAGTTCTACGGTTGTTTTTCTACGATTTGATTTCACCAAACGTTTAAGGGATTGCCAATCACAATCAATC